AACGATTCCTCTGTGATGGTTTCTGGATACGAGGGCATTCGTGAAGGTAGGATGGGATTGAACTCCCAGGCGTCTTGAGTATCGAAATCTCTGAGAAAATCGAGCATGTCGTCTTGTTCGTTGCGCGAGAAGAAGCTCATAGACTCGGAACCTGAGGGCTGGGGTGGATAAAAGAGATTTTCCACTCCCAGAGATGCAGAATTGGGCTGCAAATCGAGAGGAAAAGGAGGGGGGTTGTAGGATAGAGACGAGTCGTCAAACTCGCTAAAAGGAAACGGTGGTGGGCCTGGTTGTTGGATATGCGGCTCGTTGTATACCCGAGACGACTGCATCCTTGTTGTCGTCTCTTGGTCTCTGAAAAACGGCAGCAATCTCGTGAGTGTGGTCCGGGTCAAACTTGAGCGGTATATAAAGGGTCTGTGATTAGGCAACGAATTCACGTCAGGTTCGGTCAACCGCTCGCCTTTGGACCCACCCCCACAATTGACATTCGACAGGATGGCCACAAGGAACCCAAACGATCAATCACGGTTGTTAGATTGTGAAGACGAAGAAGACAGAATTCGAAGAATCAGTCAGTTATCCTTCCAGCTTCTGCTAGACTGCTAAAGTAAAACAACCGAGGATTTTGCAGGCCGATTACTATCTACCATTGACTCAACATCCAACGCACATCAAACTCCCAGACCTCTAGAACAACTCATGCTGCCATCTTCGTCTGCTCTGGAGACTACGCAGACGTCTGAATGTAAGGGCTGCACCGCTTGGAGGCCGGCATTCAAGGAACTGACCCCTCGGTAATGAATACCACAAAGTGATATCCAGAGTCCAGGCGTTCCTTCCTCAGATAATGGCTGCGAATGAAGACCTGTTTCGTCGTGCACGTGAAACTGATTCATCGGTGGACATTGAGCACTTTGATGGTACAGAAGGCGCATACATAGAAATGGTAAATTACAACCATTGCACCGAGAGAAAAAAGAGGTACAAGGCACTCAGCATTTTGCAGAATCTGGGACTGGGTCTCTTTGAACAAAGAACCGAGCGGTCCGCCGAGGATAAGTCCTCTTCCTCGACGGATAGTTCCACAACAACCTCGGATACAGACAGCACCAGCGATCCTGATGAAGAAGACGACACCCATAGCAGTGGCAGCGACGATGAAGAAGCAGAATCCCCAGATTTGATCGCACTGGTGACGGGGACCAGACCTATGCGGCCATTGCCCACCAAAAGACGGCGAAAACCAATTACCCAAAAGGGCCCCAGTATAGTCGTTTTAAGCTCATCGGATAACCAGCCCGATTTGCCAAATACCAGTTCTCACGCCCCATCTCAAGACCCAAATCACCAATGAAAACACGGATCCGAGGCGAGATGCACGGCTTATTGTCTCTGAGGTAAACTCTGTATTTCTTCTCGAACGCTTCATCTGGTAACGACGTTGCCAGCGTCGAGGCCCAGATCAGCATGTGCGACCGTCTATTAGTAGTGTATACATTGTCATGAACAGTATATAGTAGCTCGGTCCGAAAGAGACCCGTATATATTATTATTTCATTATATTACTCGGTCCGAAGAAAGACTAGAGTACCGAGCATTGATACCAAACCCGGCAGGTGGCGAACTGAGCTTAGCGACTTCCCCTATCTATTCATATTTTTCATTTCGAGTCTGACATTGTGGACGTGACGCCATAATATGTGGTTTTCTCGTTCGAGTAGCCGTAGACCTCCCAAAGTCCAAACGGGTGAAGAAACTGGCCTATCTCCAACAAAACCCTTGTTGGAACCGCAACAGCCACGTTCAAGGGATCCCTCTCCCACAAAAGCCAGTCATGCGGCATCTTCCGTATATTCTTTTCCTACTCGACCTGATTTTACTCGGACCGTAACTACCCCCACAGAAGTACCTGAGGAGTCGGATGCCCCGCCGCGACTGAGCTTTAGCTCCTCAGTGGGGAAGGACGTCAGGGGACTTTCACCAGGCAACTTACTGCAACCGCCATCAGCACGTTCTCAAAGGCACCCCTCAACTGTGAACCTGACCGAGGAAGGACTGGAGGGATCGGACCGACTCTTCGACCCATTCTCAGGTCGGCCTCTCGCCACACTCCACACCTCCAAGCCAGAAACATTGCAGCCGATTACCCCTGGAATGGTCATAGGGAACATGAGTGGGTATGGGGACCCAGGCACTTCAGCAGCGGTAGACTATACCGCGGCAAAGCACAGGAGCAGTGGAGATATGGAGGACCCATCGCAGCAAAAGATGTGGGAGTACCTGGCTCGGATCAGGAGCCTACAAGCCGATGTAGCAGCTATGCACTTGGCTATGGATGGCCATGGTCTCGGTGACCCCTGGGGAACTACCCGCGCCGGCGGCGGACGCTCCCGGAGCGGGAGCATGAACCAGACGAAAGAGTCTACGAAGGCGCTCTTTGTTGAGACTCCATCGATAGCAAAGATGCCAATGACCCCTGACGCACCATTGATGCGGCCCATTGGGGACGACAGCGATGATGAAAAAGAGGGCAACAAAAAGGGCAACAAGGGCACAGAGGAGTTTTCTGATTTGAATAAAATGTTTGAAAAGAAGCAAGAGGCGCTGAAATCAGTGATGGAAAAGGTATAGTGCAAAATCACGTTCTAGTGTCCTTTTTGAACTAATTTCATATAGCTCCGAGAGCTTTCTTCAGTTGTAAGAGCTTATCATGAGCTCGAGAACCCTGTCTTCCCACCGCACCGCCAACAGACGTTCGAGTCCAAGCTATCATCGGACCGGGTGGTAGAAACGCCACCACCCACGAATATCCTCTCGAGCCCATTACATGAAACACCAAAGAGCATGCCCAAGCTCTCCCTAACACCCATCATCACTTCCTCTCCTACTTCGTCCGTGCCTCCTTCTCCACTGCCCCCGAAGCTCCAGACCCGAGAGCTTTCTCCTCCCAAGCGCGCGAAGGCAGAGAACAGGAGGATTTCTCTTGATATGGGTGTCGGAGGTGGTCGACATGGCTATGTCCCCGTATCCCCCGGTAGCTCTGGTCCACCTCTCCTTCCATCGCCGCCAACCCCAAAGCGATAACCTGGAAAGAGCTCGCACCGACTCTCTTGCTCGACAGAGGTTCATTGTCTCTTACGCCAAGGATGCTCATACGTCGTGTTTATTGTAAGCCGCTACACACGTCTCTCCTCACGTAGATCTCGCAATGTATCCATTAAATGCTAATTTCAAATATTAATTGTTGAAAATTCGAAAGCTTAATTAAAGTGTGGTCGCCGCCTCGCGCTGAGGACCGCGTCTGCGGAGTTTGAATCGAATCACGACCTGCTTGCCTCCAGCATTGGCCGGAAAGCGACTAATTGACGTGAACTATCACCCATAATGGAGTCTCTATACACGAATAACACCACTCCACTGATAACAAACGCGTCTAACGCGGTCCTAGACGATGTCGAAACGAGCACGTCGATCCTCCATCCCGCCCACGCGACCGCCTCATCCACGGGACATTCTAGTCGTGAATCTCGAATGACCAGAAGTCAGCATATGCTCTCTGGGCCTGAAGTTGTCGAAGACTTCAAGAGATCGCGTACCAAGTTTACACCAGAGCAACTTCATGAGCTGGAAGCTCTTTTCATCAATCATGGACCTCACCCAACGCGTGAACAACGCGCTTTAGTGGCTGAAAAGATTAAAGTGTGCGTATATTTCCTAATTACCGCTCGCCCCACGCTTGATCACGCTGCTGCCAAACATTGGCCAAATATTCGTCCAAGAGCTGATGACCACCCAATTTAATAGGCCCCCCAGGACAGTTCAAGTATTTCTACAAAATAGAAGGCAGCGCGATACCAAAAACAAAAATGCAGCACTTGAAGCACACACTGCAAAAATGGAGGCAAAGGACTCTATTGCGGAGATGTCCGCAACGCCTGCCATCTTCTCATCATCATCACCGGCTAACACAAATACACCGGTCGAGAACAGCTCGAGAGCAGAATCAGCTGGTCTTTTTTCTAGCCAATCAACACTATCGATGATCTCTGAGGCCTTGGAGGGCAAGCTCTCGTCGGTCAACACACCACCACCATCTTCATCGTCCGAACCACGGTCACGCGATTCGAAAAAGTGGCGGGCCGAGACTCATGTCCCTACTACTTGTCGACGTATATCCCTGAACCGTGTGGCAGAAATGATGGAGAACACACGACGGTCGCCGTCCTCTCCCACCGCGAATACAGACTCCAAGGAAAATGTGCCTGCGGTGCCCCTCTCCTCTTCCCCAGCACCCACGGAGCTCCTTGTCCTTACCGATACCAATACCACTCCCGTCAAGCCGCCTTTTAACTCGCAAGGCAGTCTATCCCCGACCTCGGCGGCCCTATGGACGCGCATGATTTCGTCTCCCCCTACCCCTTTATCCCCTATGAATCGTC